TATACTGTTAGTTTATTGCTTAGTTATTTCACATACGTGCAGGAGTTTACTTTTAACAGCTTAACATGAATTTTTCAAAGAACTTAAACAGTAATATTTCAAAACAGAATAGCTCATAAAATTTGAAGAACGTTTTATGCAAAACATACATAAACAAAGAGAAGACAGAGCATACTGGTTACTGAGACTCTCAAAGTGCTAACAAGGCCAAAACCAACACCTAGGAACTTATCCTCTTGCAACAATTGCTCTTATGCATATGGAAAAAGAAATCCTCCCAATTAAGACCAACTATTTTATGAAAAATCAAAACATCATTTCAGGCAACTTGTTTCAAGATGTAGTCATGAGTTGTGCATTGGTCATTTCCTAGGTCTCCACCTTCAGTCACCTCTACCCCAGTTCGCACTACTGTCACCTTCCTCTTCTCTCTTGCTTCAGAACATCGAGGGCTTCAACTAGCCTAGCCAGGTAAAGGAAAACAGCACTACAATCTACTTGTTTAGTAGCTGACTTAAAAAAAAAAAAAAAAAAAAGTAGGAGAAAAACTCTTTGTGCTTTCACACAGCCCACACATGCATTAGCTTGAAATATCAAACTGTACTGTATTTTTCGGTGTCACTTGCTGTTTATTCTGCTTAATGATCCTTTTTTCTTTTTTCCCTGTGTAGAGAGTTTCAGTACTGCTTTAGTAATACACAACGATAAAAATATGCAAGTTAGAGTGGCTAATATTATTAGGGTAATAAATGATTAATGTACTGTACTGGCACTAGAACTGCCTTGCTTGTAAACAGATTCAAAAATATTAGTGTATTAATAAGGTAGTTTAATAAACTGTTCAATTGTAGGCAAAAAGATGTCATACACGCATTTGAATTCAAGCTGGTACACAATCAAGTTCCCCCAACACACACAGCATACAGTTACATTACACAGTCTTGCTCTCTTTCATGGGCCAACATAAAGCCACAGAACTGCCTACCTCAGGAATCTCTCTAGATCCAATTATTTCTTAGTAGTTGCTTTGAATGAAAGCTAATGTAATGGAATGTAGTGGCTGTTCTCAACATTTAATCAGCTAAAATATGTAGAAATATCAAGGAACCATTCTATAATACACAGTAGGCATTCAGAACTTCAAATCATCACACCCTTAGCCTAATATACTTGGCATGGCTTACTGCCATTAGAACAAGAGTTTGTACACATCACAGGAAAAACAAGTCCTTAATAAGCATTATGGGCAATCATGCAATGTGCTCTAGAAGTACTCACAAGACAGAATCAAAAAAAAGATAATTAAAAAATATGCTATTATGGACAATGCTCCAGAAGCATTGCTACCATTGTCATTGCTTATTAATGAAGTTGCCTTCAGGAGGTGCTTGACTAGTTACCTCAGTATATCTGCTGAATACAGCCACAGGCCAGTCAGCATCTGCTGTTGTTGCAGGTTAAGGTTACTGCAAGTACAGTTAGAGTTCTGCCACCTTTCCAGAGACAGGGTTATTTAAATTCAAGAGCGCTAAGCTAAGAAGCAATGAATCCAAAGAGAACACACAGCTCCATTTGTTCCATTTAAAAATGACATAAGGGACTATCATAACTTGTTGCTGTTTGATGTCTCCACAGAGGAGGAAAAAAAATAGCAAAAAAGTCAGTAGATATTTTCCACTGTCATTCTTATTCAAACACACGCAAAATAAGGTGCAACTCCCCTAAAAGCTTTTGAGCAGGGTACCAGCGTAAGGCATTCAAAGACAGTGATGATACCATTGATCATTTTTGCTCCCAGCTCCCACAGAATTTCAGCTGGCAACATATGGTAGCCCATTTCTTATGGGGGTCAGTTCCCCATAGCTCAGAAGTTCCTGGGAACAGAAAAATTATTTGGCCTTGTGTGAAATAGCTATAGCACACCCCCAGCATGAATGGAGCATGATTCCTGTCTCCCTTGAGGTTTCACTGCATCCCACAATGATTAGTGTTGCTGTAAAAGCTGTATTTTTCACATATTGCCAGTCTGCCACAGAAATCTCTTCCTGACTAGAACTAGCAAGCAGACAGAACTGCAGCTAGAGGGAGAGCCACAAATTTCACAGTTTAACTAATTTTTATACCCGTTTTTATTATCTTGACTACTATTGTTGTCTCATAATAATCAGCCACAGCAAGAGAAGGGAAAGTCATTTTGGTGGCAATGAATGAGCTGGTTTCAGCAATAGGTTTGGAGGAGACAGCTAGAAGTATCCAGCTATTTACATCCCTGCTGGAGGATAATCCCTTGGATACTGATGAGTCACAAATAAACTCTTGGGGGGGGGGGGGGGGAAGCAAGCTTTACTAACAAAATGGAACAAATAGCACATATTCTCTAAAGATTTCCAAATGGCATCACACCTTAAACTCTTCAAAACTAAGCAAAAAGGTTTGTGTGCCTGCCTTCCCCCACCCCACCTTTGGTTGTTTGAAATCCGTATTTTCAGTTAGAATCCACAGCAGTACCTCCAGGAGGTAATCCAGACTTGAAACAGTAACAGAGGACACCTGGTGGTGTTTGGTGTTAACTGTATGCAAACAGCAAGCCAATTCATTAGTGTATGCAGCTGCACCAGCAAGAATTGACACAATCCATGCTTTTTGCGCTACAAAAAAAAAAAATTTTTAAGTGATGGAGAATTTAAAATACTGTAAGCACAGACACACAGGCAAATTTAAACCAAACAATATATGATAGAAGTTCAGATACCAGATGCTGCCACCACCTTATGACAATTACTCTGAATATAGATGCAACAGTTACAAACACCACATGTATTAACTCTGCTCTTATACAAACACACGCTATGGCAAAGTAGGATAGGTTCTCCACTACTGAAAAGTGAAAGGACACAAAGTTGGCAGTTTTGTTGCAGGAATTTTCAGAGAAGCAAGGGTAGAGGAAGAACAGAATCGATTTAGCCTCAGGAAGCAGCAGCACCACAAGCTAGGTACTTCACCACCACCCAACAGCAGTTCTGACACCGTGGAGAAGATCCACTGGCCCATATAGAATTGCACAGGAGATCTGAGCTCAATCCCAAACTGCCAGATCTACTCATGGATTTATTGGCCATAAGTACTCAGAGCTCTGTATTAAGTTAGTGAGAACTATTATTTTTAGCTAGAAATATGAGGATGTTGGTATTAAGATAGCTCTGTAAACAGCTGACACTGAAACCATCCACAATATCATGCTTTATTGTTTTCAGCAGCATATACCATTTAGAACTCGGATCCTGAACAAAGTCAACATCTGTTGGACTTCTCGACTCCCAGAGACTAGAGGACACACCAGCATGGTAGAAACGAAAGCTACACTAATGTTTACAGATAAGCTTTCTAGTCATGTGGGGGATATTTATTGCATTTAATTGCCAGTGGCAAAAAGTGACGTAAAAACTCAAGTTCTGTCTTTTGTCACGCTCTTCAGTGAGAGATATATCGCTGTAAATATTAGAACTTGACTGAAAAAGAAGGAATAAAAGAAAAAGAGGATTGTACAACATACACAATACTTTCTCCTTCTTTACACAACTTCAGTCACAACCAAGATTCTAAGCGAGAAGATTTCATAAAAATTTTATAAAAAACAAGTATTTGTGTCTTTTGAATCAGCGCTGTCAACAGAAGAGGAAAGCTGATTCTCTATCCTGCTTGTAGCAGCACAAACATGCGTGGTAAGACACATCAGTGGCCTGATTAAAACTACCCTGGTTTAAAAAAAAGTTAGTTTTAACCCACATCAATTCTCCAATCTGTTCTCATATGTAGCCACGCAAACACCTACACTGGTACAAGCAGATAGAAAAAAAACTGCTCCCTCCATCAGCAGTGCTAGCTGAAAGTGTAAATGAAAATAAGACCTTCTGGTGTTTGCAGATTTTCTTACCAAAGTTAGCAAAGCAGAAGTTAGACTGAAAAACAGATTAGAGTTCAAGTTAAAAACTGGTATGACACACAAGACAACTTGAGATAAACTTCAGATAAACTTTCAAATAAACTCTTTATAAGCTCTCAAAATTGTGTCCCAAATCACAAGCTATTAATCTCCAAATTAACTGTTTGGAAACATGACCAATTTAAGAGTCATTAACAGATGCAAGAAACGCATCTTGGATGTAACCTAAAATGCATAAAAGCCAACTAAGGAAACACATTGAAGAACACACTTTTAAGAAAGGTGAAAATCATAGCCTTTAAGTTATATGAACAAAATCCATCTAGCAGGCCTCAAGTAAGAGGTTCAGGGCTAATAAGATAAGGATTTGGATGGACACCTCTGCAATACTCTGATGACCTTATTCCCCAAATTTGCTCAAATACACAAACACATAAAATGCTTCAGAGAGCTTATCTCCCCACAGACTTTGCTTTGTTACCTTAACTTTGAATATTAGTTAATGGCATAATAACTGCTTTCTGAAAGGTTCCCAACCTGTTCCTTTTCAAAACAAGCTTTCCCCTTTTTACTCATTTATTAGAGTAAGCTTGTCCTGGGCCAATAACATCCACTGACTCCTTAAGTAAAAATCTATTTCATGATCTTCTACTCTTTCTGATTTCCTGAAATTAGACTTAGCCTGGAAAGATAGAATTTAAATTGCTTACCTTTCAGAGCTCTAACTTCCAAACAAATAGGCATGATAAATTCAGCATAGTGAATTCACAGAAGCATGATATCCTTCTTAATTCTGAATTACTTTCAATTTAGATATTTTGTTTTACATTCACAGAAATTAAGTGAACAATCAACCTTGGTCTTAAGTTTAATAAGAAATTATTTCCTTTAATCTGCTAAACAAACTTTACACTGGAGAAGGGGAATGTCTTTCCTGCCAGCTACAATACAGGCCACACAACATAAAACCAGGCTGCTATAGTAGTCCTTCACGTTATCATTTCCACATATAATACCTTAATTCATGTAAGCTTTTTCGTACCTTCTCTTCACTTACATTTTTCTCCAGACAACTCTAGCAGTGAGCCACTGTTGTTCTACTCTCTTTTGTTCATTTTTAAAGTGAAATTAATCACAAAGAATTATGGAATCTCTTCTTTCCTGAATCAGCAGGTAGCTATAAAGAAGAAGAACAGATTAGAAAAGAAACCTGAACAACAAATGACTGTAGGTGTGTGAGAGCTTCATTGTATAGCTTTATAAGTGGTGACAAGAAGAACCAGTTGAGCAATACCAGCTACCCATATCCCTTTATATTTACATATTTACTTATACCCCAGCTAATTTAAATCCTCAAATAATCAAATTAGATTGTTTAGCAACCACACAGGTGCTACCATTTATGGCTACATGCAACAAACGCTCCCATGATTTAAAAGTCTCCTAGGTGTCAGTAAATATACTGAGAAATAGAATGTTTAAACAATTTATTGTTATTAGTGCTAAAGAATTTGCTGCATTAAAAATCTATGTAAAGCCAATCCTTAAATAGGATTTTCATCTAACATATTTTTTACCCTCCCAATGTTTTAGTCAGGATGACAAATATTAAAAATACAAAAAATATGTTTCTTTGGATACCTCACAACATTGAGCTTTTTACGGTTAGATCCTGCTCTCAAAAATTATGTAAAACATTTTGCTCACCTATGTAGTCAGAAAGACTTTTGAATGTGAGCTCAGCAAAAGCTACTGCTCTTTGTATTATGTGCCCCATGAAGTATGAGGGTCATAAATAAAAAATAAGATAAGGTCCATGATCTGACATGACTAGTTAAACAAATGCAAAGTAAATAAAAGAGTACTCAATCAGGATCTTAGATGAAACAACAAAAAAATCTCCAAACCCCAGCCACAGTGGAACCATGCTAATGCAAACCTTTGGGAGCTTACTCTGCACAGCAGTGAAAATTCACTGTGTTGAAAGGGGACCGTTCCTAACGTAAACACACTTTTACTGAGTATAGGGAAGTAAATATTTAGCACGGAGACTTCAAAAGGTATGCTTTGGCTGTTTGAAGTAGAAAACTTCAGAAGAACGGGGGTCCGCCGTGGTGTTATGGTGGCACTTGCCTTCTGCAGGAAGAGTTTTCTGTGGTTGCCATCAGCCGCAGGGATTGCTCCCTGGTCTCAGGCCTTCCCTCCGCGGCGCGCCTGCGTTTTCTCTCGAAGCCTTATGCAGTGTTACAAGGGGAGATTTCAGAAGCCGTGAAATCAAACGAGAGAAAATGAGAACTTTGGGAAAACCAGGTGCAGGAAAGCATAAAAATGTGGGAGAACAACGTGCGTTTTCAATCTCGCAAGCGATTTCTGTACGTTTAATCCTCTCGCTGAGTCCGAGTAGGTGCGTACTGCGTACGGCTTGAACACAAAGCTGGGGCTCAGTAATTCTGGCTTCACGGACAGCGACGGCTGAACGCTTCTGCAGCGTGGGGGAAGCGGGAAACAGTAAAAAGCCCACAAAAATCCTGAGGGAAGCCTAAAATCAGGGGAAAACAGGAAGAAAAAAAAAAGAGAAGAAAAAAAAATCACGGAGCGGGGCACAGACCGGCACCTACCTAAGAAATTAAACCAAAAGGGCAGAAAAGACAGAAGGAGGGAAGCGCGGAGGCCGCAGCCCGCAGGGCGCCTCAGCGCGGCGCGGCCGGC